TCAGTCTTGATCTGGTGGGGAACAGAGCGGTCCGTTCATCACTGCTGCACTGACAGGATTACTGTAATGTGATGCCACTGAACAGTGTGTGTGCTGTGCTGTGAATACAATACCTTCTTGGCACTGGGTGCTTCTGAGTCTGGAGTGCGAGGCTGGGATTTCACCACCTTTGGTTTGGGTGGGGTTTTGCTGTCTGAAGGGAGAGCATGTTATTGATGATATATCAAATAAAGTAGCATTTGCAGCACTCACTGAGGGTCACTCATTTAGCCTGTGAAATGATGTGACTGCCCACCAACACATCCGTTTTACTGATTAAATTAAAGCTGCAATGTGAACCACATTCCACTGCAAAATAAATACCTCACATTGCTGTGATCTTGTCTCCCACTGATGTTTGATCTTTGCCCCACACTGGCTTAAAAAAGACTTCCATTTAAATAATTTTGACATTGCTGCTGGTGGAGCCAATGGATGCATTTGCACAACTCGAGCAACTCAAATATATAGAAACGGGGGAAAAAAGGAAGCTCTGAGATCAGTCAGCGGAGGAACTGCCAGTGCACATGGTACAGCACGGCTATGTAATGTCTGCACTGTGGGTGTAGCGTCTGTTTGCAGGTGAATCAACATGGACTGCAGAAACACTCCAGAGTCAAGTTTTACCATGAGGCAGAAATCTGCTTCACATTCAGTCTGAACTACAGTCAGTCATCTCTAATCAGCAACAATGCTGATCATTTGTTAATTGAATTATTATTTCAAGTTAAAATGTAAGGATTTGCTGATTTCTTTGTTGTCTGTATGTTAGTAAAGTGAATATCTTTGGGGTATGAACAAATAAAGCAATTAGAAGTTGTGATGGAAATTCCTTCTTATTCTGACACTACAGGTAAAACGATTAAAGAAAATGAACTGATAAAGAATAATAACTGTTAGTAAGAGCCCTAGTTTGAACACCCTAACAGTAAACATCCTCCCTTATTATTGCAGATAAGCTTGTAGCTTTAAATACTTAAATTAAAAAAATTTCAAACTTGTCATTTTATACAATGAAAAAGATATGATCATAGTGAAACTGCAGTGTCACAGTAGCCTGCCTCCCCCTTTATGTTGGTGGTTTGTGTACTTACTGGTCTTCTTGAGTGGAGCACTTCCACGGGACGAGGTCGACGGGGAGTTTCCTCCGCTGTCCCCTCCCGAGGAGCCCTTGTCGTCGCTGGATGTCGACGGTCCAGCTGTCACTTTAAAGTCACAGTTCTCCTTTGATATGCGGTACAGCTCCTGAGCAGAGTGGTGAAATGAGAACACGGTCTTCAGCCAAGAGATGGAATGTTTTGTGTCACGAGAGATTGAAGACCCGTGTTGCATTTCAAATAATTTAGCACAGGCATGTTAACTGCCTCGGCCAACATTTCAACTCATCTGTCAATGTTTGCTGGATTACTGACTGCAAATTAGGTCGTTGTCATTTAAATCATACTTAAGGGAGAATTTGCTGATTTTCAAGCAGCTTTATATCATTACAGTGTTTACCTGCACCCCCAGCTGTCTGTGGAGTCAGGTATAGAAGAACTACAGTACAGTCTGTAGCTCCACTAGTCTAGAGCCACGACTTTTGTCAGCAAATGAGTCAGCAAATTTGTGTATGCTACCCACGCTGTAATGATACGGTTTAGCTGCTGCAGTCCCATGGGTGCGTTGTTCAACAACAGATTTAATTATTTCACTCCTCGTCATTACCAGGATCACAATACCTCCCATCATATAGTCCAACGCAAAATGCAATTAAGTAATTAACAACAAAAAATCCCAGGACATAGACTTCAGTGCCAAATGAGGGAGTGATCTAAGGCCTCTTTTGTGTTTGCTCTCTTCCTAATCGTCAGTAACTGATGAACTATTTCCCATTGTGTCTTCAGTTAACTGCATTAAAGAATGAGCAGTATCTAATCATAAAAAAGTTGTATTTTCTCCTGCACACAGTAAGAATTACACATTATTAACACCAATGCGCTAGCGGCACATGTACTTTAAATCAAAATGACAATATCCTACTTTAAGCTGGTGCAAGTTGGTGGCGGTCTTCCAGTCCTTGTCATCGCGGATGCGCGTCATGCGGGGAAAGCGGATAGAGATGCCGTCAGCGGTGTGCATTTCTGATTTGGAGAACTCTGCGCCTGTGATCTCCCAGACAGGTGCTCTCTGCAGCAGAGGAAACAACAGCAGCGGCAGGTGAAACATAAATGACAAGGTAAATATAGGGCTGCTTCTCCATAAAATGAGAAAAGCAATCTTAACCTCTGTTCAAATAGGGCCATGAATTTTACAGTTTAAAGAAAGAAGTTTGTGGATTTCATTACTGAGTTTTATTTTCAGACTTGAAAGCCAGAGAGGGCCATTTCAATCAAATGTTTTCAATCAAAAGTGTTTTTATGAAAGACTATTTTCAGCGAATATGCAGGCGGAGAGCAGCCCTGCAGTGTGGGTGGTCATTATCTCAATACGTCAGAGTCATTTATTTGGAGAAATTCCTGCAGAAGATGTATGCAAGACATGCTTTTAACTCATCACTTCATTTAAAAAGGTCTGCAGCATGCAGATACACAACTACATCACCATCCAGCTGTTTCCCACTGGGCTTGTTGAAGTCTCACCTCAGGATCACGAATAAGGAAATCTGGATAATAGTTCTTGATGATTTTCAACCAGCCTGGGATTTTGCTTGGCTCCTGCACAAAGACACACACAAACGATTCATTTACGATTTTATTACATCAGCTCAATATTCCAGGCAGGCCTCTTAAGTGGATCCTCTCTGACCTTGCTGATTTTGATCACATCCAGCTCTTTCTGGAGTCTGGCCAAGGTGGCGTCATCGTAGCCTCCGGAGCACTTGGTGACTGTGCACCATTTCTTGGAGTCTGGGTCATAGCAGCCCATTAGAAAACTGGACATGATGCCCCCTGGTGGGTGGAAGAACACACATGGCATTAGGAGGGAAATTTAGGAAAGTGCTGCCTGTGGAGACTCTTAAATAAAGCCTCCACAGGCTTTGAATATAAACACCTACGCTGTATAATTCTACTTAACTTCCCAAAACTAGCCTCCTTAAATCCACTTTTTACAGCAGTTCTTTCCTACTTCCCACTTTTGTCCCACAGTATGTTATGAAAACTACTTCATCTGCTTTGTTGTTTCTGCTCTATTAGCTTGTCTTCACACCACATGAGCTGTCTTCATTAGCCATGCTTTTTAGATTTGTACCTTTGTTTTTGCATTTGTTATGCTTCCATTGTGTTATATGCTCATTACCCATCCTCCTCAACGACTTCCACATCTTGCCTGCTTGTATGCTTTACCAAATGACACCCTCTCCTCATGCACTCGTGTGTGCTATCTGCATATTTTTTACATGAAATGCTACAATGCCAGATTCTGTATTCTTGGTATTTTAGTACATACAGAATCTTTCCATATCTGAGTTCATTCAGATGTTTTTTAACACACTGATCTATAAAAAAGGTACAGACCTTCCGAATGCTTTTGCACCAAATCCATTACCAAACCACAGTCAGTATCGCTGAAACCTGAGCGCTATTTGCTAAATATTCCTCAAAGCAGGGTATTAGTTAATCTCAGGTAGCTAATTTGGGTGTCCCCAGAGTCACTCCTCATCTTACAGAAGTGCACTGAAACTGCCTGAACAGATGAGAGCATCAAGGAAGGGAATATATTGCAGTTAATGGTTAGGGCTTCACAGACCGTTGGAGCCTTTTCCATAGAAGGCTCCCAGTACCACCAGGTCAGCGGTGTCTGCCATCGCCCCTTCGTTCAAATAGTCCTTCTTCACCTTCAGCCAGTGGCGCTTCCCGGGTTCATAG